ACAACAAGAAAAACATAGGTGATTTGCTTTCTGCTGTATGTGTAAGCTGAAGCCATCCTTACAGGATGTTACTTAAAGGTTGGCAAAAGACTTCGCGAGAGGTATTAGCGATTAAACAGTTTGTACATACCCTTGGGACACCCCGTATATGTTGTGGATATCGAATTTCCGAATATTCGATGCTTCGAATTTTCGAATAGTCAATTCTTATCGAATTTTCGAATATTCGGTGCTCATCGAATATTCGAATATTCTATGGACATCGAATGATCGAATTAATGACCATCGAATATTCGACTATCGAATAATATTCGAAAGTTGAGAATTTCGAATATTCGACTTTCGAATAATATTCGAAAATGAAAATTTTCGAATATTCGACTGTCGAATATTATTCGAAATCTGAGATTTTCGAATATTCGAATTTTCGAATCATTCGCATTCGAATGATTTATTCGAATAATCGAATAATCATTCGATTCGGTCCAAAGTATACTGTGCACTTTTGCCTGCGGCTAGGCAACCGCAGCGCGAGGGTCTTGCGTGCCAGCGTGCTATCCATGAATACGATTCTACTAATCGAAACTCGCGCAAGCGTTGCTTGAGGCGTAGATTGACAAACTTCGGTACTTTATGGAAAAAAGAAACTCGGGCTGGCATGAATGCAATAATTGCCGCTAAGCAGATCTTCCCCTTCTTGAGTGGAATAAGTGGAAGTGATCGTGATCTATTAGGGTGAACGGTAAAAAATGGGACACCTACGAAATAATTGGAGGTTTCTCAAGAAAGAGAAGTGATTAGACTTTCCAATTTTGACAGATATCAGAATTAAGTTATACTCTTTCAGACAATACCTATATAAGGTCATTTACATAATTAATAATTTTTATACTTGCTGAAATGCAAAGTTAGTCACTTCGATACATTATGAAGTTTGAGCAGTATCTGCGCAGTGAAACATGTGAGACCACCCAAAGTACCACTGCTGGAGTGGGTAGTGAGACGGTCACTAAACCCACGACGGCTTGGAGGCCTCAACTTTCAAAGTCAGGAGATATGGCCATTAGCAGCTTCAAGAACAAAGATAAAGTTATTCAATTCTTTGGAAGTGAACGCATGTTTTCTAGGTACCATCTTATAGAGCTTTTTACGCTCTATCCATCCATATGCAACTTACCTCAGATTTTATCTATCTTCGGAAAATGTAGGGCAAAACATGGTTCTTTTCTGGTTTTTCTTACTGCGCCAAAAATAGCTATTTTTCAGGTCTTTTCGCTTTTTTTCTGGAATTGGAAAGAAACCTCATGCATTTAGCGTATTGCTTGAAAGAGCATGAAGAGCTCTTTCGAATGGTATGTCACTTGGTTTATGACTTCACGGTATAGCAGCGCAAGATTGAGAATTGTTCCAAAAACCCTGTCTGAGTTCTCCACGGCGCCACGTGCACGGTTATGAGAGAGGAGCGGTAACGCGTTGCCAGAATAATAGGCGAAGGTCGGTTGTGTAAGCGACGTTTGAGTTGCAGCCTGCTTGTTGTTTGTGAGAACAAAAAACCTCAAAATGTAATGAAAATCAAGCTGTCCCATTTTTTACCGTTCACCCTAGTAGGTTAACAGTAAACGAGCCCTTGATTCCCAACCATGCCATGTATGAACCCGACTCTGGCTTGAACCTGCTTTAGATACTCGCCTATGCTATAGCCAGGGCTCGGCATAGTTGGCTCACAGGGCAGGGTGGATATCATTTTGGAGGTGAAAAGCAAAGGGAATATCGTTTTTGCGGGGTGCCGGAGGGAAGCCCGAGAAAATGCGTGTATCAGCTGTTTATTATAGTGTACATGAAATCGCCAATCTCTGTGCAAAATTGGGATACTGGGAACGATGAAGATTTTTTTTCCTAAAATCTTCTGATCACTCGAGGAAATCAAAGCTGAATTTTCATATATAGAATTGAGTTCGAAGCTTCGAACTCATTCTTGTATAGCTTCGATTCGAAGAGTTTCCTGATTCCCACCATTTATCCAGTAAATTTTTGCAGCCTTCTCCTCCCCCCCCCCCCTCAAAAACTTTTATTAGCTATCGTCACGTTAGTCTTACACATATACACGACAACTTTCATTTCGCCTTTACTCCCATTTCTCCTTCCCCCCCCCCCCTCCCCCCCCCCCCGTCACCCCTTCCTCTATTTTACAACCACCTCATCTTTTTAGACAAGTGGCAAGTGTTCGTTACCTTCATGGAGATCTCAATCTCTACAAAACTAGCAATCTTCCGCTAAATTATGCTCTCTGTGCAACTGCGGGAATTCAAAGATGTATCTGAAACAAGCAAAACTTGTTTACGTCGAAGTGCAAATGATTTGACACCAAAGTTGGTGTGTAGGTGCGCGATGGGGAGTTGTAACTATTCATGAAAATTTGAAAAGCTATGTGAACCAAGTTCGTGGAAGACTTTTTTTGGTGTTAGGTGGCTTTAGCCAACTTGCAAGCCACGAAGTGGCTCAGAGCTGATAAAGTCATCACAAATTTTACATAACTTTAATAATCTACATCAGAAGCTTTACAGATAAGTTTTTGACTCAACCCAAACCACCTTCTCCCGCCTAGTTACAGCCCTCCAAAGTTTTTGTATTGCAGAGGCAATCCTGCTCCAAACGCGCGGTGGTGCTCGCCGGACACAGCATGCCACCGATTCGGAGAATGTGAATCTCATCGGCACTCTCATCGTTTACTCGATGTTTTTTGTATCCGTTGTATTCTTATTCGCTATTTACTTTGTTTTCTCAATTAGAGTGTTAAGGGGATGTCGTATATACTAGGCTGTTGCATAAGTTCTGTCCGATTTGAATTTTTGAGTTTAAAATGTCATAACTTCTTTCAGAGTGAACTTTTTTCCAAGGTCTTAGTTTCTATGTGTTGAGCAGTCCCTTGGCTAAAAAATGCATATTGAGATCTGCGCAAATCTTTGTTAAGGAAGGACCAAGAATGCAAAAACTTCGCAGCGTTTTTCTTCGAATCTATCTTTTTTGACATGGTAACGCTCCCTTATGAAAATTGATAGGCATCTTTTCTAATAATGGATGGATAGAGAAATTTTCGTAGATTATTATGCAACATAAAAGAGCCCATAGGGTTTGCGCTGCCGAGAGATTTTCTTGACCGAACAAAAAATTAGCCACTTTTTGACCTCGCTTCAGCACATGTGTGCATGCCTATTTATGAACTACGAACGTTTTACAACTGACGTGAGCGCCGAAAAGGAATTGGTGGATGGGCCCTGTTAGCTCTTGCTTTGCCCTAGCACCTCCAACTTTGAGCTTGTCGATTACTTCTATTCGCAGAAAGTTATTGCTTGTAAAACATCTATACCAAAGATTTATGTTCGAGGATAAATTTCACTAGCAAGACGTATTCTTCATGGGACCGAACTTCTGCATATACTAGCATTCCATACCCTTATTCCGAAGCCAATGAAAGAACCTGACTTGAAGGGCGCATTGTGGAGATTTCCTCGCAAGAACATATTTCTAGGGTGAGGACGTACCTCGGTCACTTAGATATTTTAGGCCTGAAATCTCCGTACATTAAGAAATTTATTGAAATCTGATATGCATTAAAAAGCGCAAGGAAAGCACTTTCAAATGATACCAACAGTATTGCATTAGAGATGAAATTCTCTTAGAACAGCTACTTCAAACATGAGGCAAAAAAATCGGACAGAACTTATGCAACAGCCTAGTATATGGCGAAGTTTACGGGATCGTTTCCAAAAATGAAAAAGCCACCTCATGCCGAGCCCTGACTGTAGCGCCCAATGGGTATCTTGACGCCTGTCGGACATCCGACACACAGCGTGTATCCTTGAACATAACAGTTTGAACCAGTTCTCAGGTAGATGGGGCCTTTTGCTCGTGCTATGTCCTCTAAGCGCTACCTGGCGTATGTGAACACTCGAGATCATTCGACATTATTGCGCGGTCGATAGGTCCCGCTGCGATCGTTAATATTCATACTGTAATGCGCTATTATGCCAATACGAGCATCAACATCATCAAGCCACAAGCACCGAACACATTCCGTAAATTCATGCATAGCACCCACGAGACCGAAAGCATCGTTAAGGGTCGGTCATGTGCACTGATCCGTAAAATCTGCTTGTTTTTGCCATTTCTTTGCTTTATGAGCAGTATGAATGGCTGCCGTTGCCGCTATCATGGTTCCGTGTGCATCATGGTTTTTACCGAATGGGAAGAGTGTCTGAGTACTTTGTAATCATCTAAGAACATCTGTCAGCCCGCGGGAGGCTTATGTTAGGCCCTTTGATCCGACATGGATGGACCCAATCGCCCCTAAAGAATGACAACGGGCTTAAGGTCGTGTCGCCCAGCGCCATTGTGGAGGGGCTGGATTTACGTGGGTTACGGTAGTCAGATGGGGATAGGAGTTTGTGTGTCACACCGAGACTAGTTTTATTTACCCGTAACATAACTGAAGTAACTGACTAGATTCAAAGTATAGAACTCTACTGGAATCAAACAAATGTTATAGAATATTATAGCAAAGAAAAACATCTAGTTACTCCCTCTGCTCATCCATCTATCGTCGATTCATTGACCGCACGGACTGCTCAGAGGCTGTGGACCGCGCGCGGCGCAGCTAAAATGTTGCGAGAGCACGATTTGTACAATGGCAAATCTGTACTGGGGCAAGCGTTACCGCGCGGCGCGTGCTCCGCAGTCATGTCCAGGGTGCGGTCAATGAATCGACAGTATCGTCTATTCTGAGACTAAGAGACTCAAAACCGCTTTGCGTACATTGGAAAATGCTTGAACGTATTCTTTCTTGGTTTCATAGTGCTAGATGAAATGAATCACGAGTATAAACTTGTCAATTTGTTTGAGATTGTTTAGACAATGTACGCAAAAGCGGTTATGATTTTCTTAATCCCAGAGTGAAAAATATGTAAAACAAAGAATTTTACAGCTCAAATTAGAAACTCTGCTTATGTGGGAGGTGCAAGTGGAAATGGCGGGAATATCGGATATGGCCATATCTTAGGAATCACGATTGCCTGATTCAAGATATCCTTCAGAAGTGTGTTGATAGGTGTCTCCAACTTTGAAAAGAATAGCGACTCTACAGCTGTGGCACTAATAGTGCGAAGTGCTGGCAAACGTAGAAGAATTCGACCAAATCGGCTTGGCTGAAAATAGATTTTTTGGCGAGTTTCCAATAATTCCGAAATGTATTGTCGTACCTGTTGAGATTTTTGCGTTCTGCAATACTCATCCAGGGATGTTTGGATTTTTTCTTGAATCACTTCGACTTTTAGCGGTTCTTGTAATGATGGTGTGTCTGAAAATAATAGATAGTAACATAAATTGTGGGAATTCTTTTTACATTTTCTTTAAGAAACTCTAGAAAATTTAGCAAAGTCTGAAATATACAAAGCACTCTCTATTAACATTATTTGCACTTTCATAGATATAGATTACACTAAATATATAGATAATTTTGTGTCGGCACTTGAAACGCCACTTTCTTCGTTTTCTTCCAAAAATTCTCTCATTTCTGTTTTTTATGCTCCTAGCTTCTTTATGAATTCTTAAGACACTAGTGCCATATGTATGCAGGAAATCTAGGCTTCAAATAATTCAAAGAAATCCAAAAAAAATCAAAAATTGGATTTTCGATGTGATGTATACTTTGTAAGATTTAACACTCCACTTGTTTTGAGAATGAGAATAAATCTTTTATTTCAGAATTTTTTTTCGCGCAAAATTGTTTTTTTTTTCCAAAATCTCAATTCTTGACCCCCATTTCGTGGCAGTTCTTTTCGCATTGATTCGGACAGCTATTCGTCTAGCGCGAATTTATCTGGACTAGGATCATTGAGGGCCTTTCTCATAATGGATGGGGTGCAAGTGGCACGGGGCAGGATGCAAATCGGCGATTAGAGGGGGACGTGTCGCGTGCTCGCAACTTTTCGCGGATTACGGTAGCTCGGCTCCAATCATAGGTGAAGCGTTGGGGCTCGGCGTTCGAGGTGAGTCGATTCATAGGAAATGAAGGGTGATATATCAGGTTGGTAAGAAAGTTTCTGTGACATTTTTGACAGATAAAGAAAACAAAGAACAAGATTACCTCAAATGGTTTGATACTGCAGGTTAAAATTTTGAGAAAAACAATTTTGGGTCGCAAATGTCCGAGAACTTTCTTACTAACTCAATGATCAGTTTTGTTTATAAGAGAGTAACCGAGAGACAGGTAAAAGAAAGCGGAAGGGGGGGGGAGAAGAACTCCTAAGCACATCCAATTTAGAACACCCCTGCTTTTTCATTTTTGGCAAGAGTTAGAATCGGTCAACTTACCCGGGTTAAAGAGCACTATAGCTTTGACGCTGTTCATCTCGAAAAAATCCATATGTAGTGCCCGTATTCTTTCGACATGCTCCTAAATTAATAGTGATAAAAATCATTTATTCTGTGACTGAAAGACTCGAGACCGCGACGCATAAATTGTCAAAACAAGCTTTATCGTGTGGTTAACAAGTTCATACTAGTAAACTATTAGGAAATTTACTAAATTTAGGAATCTTTGCCACTTGGAAACAAGCAAGAACAAGTTCAAGCATGTTTAGACAATGTATGCAAAGCGGTATTGAGTCTCTTAGTCATAGAATGAAGAATAAAACAATTTTTCTGAATCAGCAAGTTGCAGTGTAAACACTTATTTAGGATTTTTAACGTAATCGACAAGAAGTACGATTTTCAAAATTAGTATCGTAAATTATTTTGTCAGAAAATCACCATAATCTCAAAAATTTTCCTAATTTTTTTCTGCCTATTTGTTGCAAAAATTTATCATATTTTTAAATTCTTTTCAATTACCATATAGACAACTCCATCCTTTGCGGCCAGTTCCTCTTGTGGAGCTAATGGAACCGAACTGCCTGCTGCACAAAGAACGAACAACTGTACCCAGCTGGACTGCAAGAGTGATATCTGTAATAAAGAGAAAATTTTTTTAAATTAAAAAAAAATGAAAATTGTGTTTCAGGACCTGATCACGTTGAGTAAGATCGTTGAAGAATGAGATTTGCTTGGCCCAATCCACCGTACTGTAGAGGAAATTTGTGCCAACATCTATTGTTGGAAAGCTTCTCGGTAGGGCTATGTTGTTTTCTAAAGTAAAATTTTTATTGAAATATTTGACGTGAAAGCTCAAAAAACCTGTGTCAGTAAATCTTGAGAAATTCTCCGCAGCCGCGCTGAAATTTACCATAAATGGATGTAGAAATGGTAACGGTGGACGTGGTAGAAATGGTGGCGGAAACATGCAACCAAGAAATGGTGGACCATTATGGACTCGGCCACGTTGAACAGCTGAAACTAGCATACTGTTAGTTTGAAAAATTGAGCGTAGAGGAATAGAGGTAAAATAGAAATAAAAATCATATTTTAACGATATTTAGAAGTTCTGGAAAAGTAGGTGTAGTAGAACGGAATTTAAGCTGTTTTTCTTCACATAAAGCCTACAGTATCTGTACCGTAAAATATGTCACAGAGTCGTAATCAAGCTCTGAATTCACGCGGCCTACAATTAGGTATCAGGATAAAAACTTTACGCAATTGGAATTCATTTCTTATTCAGGAGTTTGTTGCAAAAGGGGTGGGGCCTCCAATTCACACTTGGAGGCTAAAATGCAAATCATACTGGAACATTTTTAGGTATCCCCACAAACCTTCTGAGTATTTAGATCTCCCTTAGTGAGTGCAAAAAATAGTTGGATTCTGGCCTACCTTCTCTTCTCATTCCCATTTTCACGCATTTTTTCAGACGACAAAATTGACACTGATTTCTGTGATTCACATCGACTGGACAGTTTTTAGAACCTCGACATGTATAAGAGAGGGATCTTCTTATGGACCTGCAATACTTCGGGGGTAATATTTAAAAATTTTATTTGCAGAAAAATATCAAACCTTTTGAAAAAGCTTTTACAGCCTTCACATGAGAATTGTCCATAATGTTTACCGCTGGATTTATCGCCACAAACAACACAATCGGCTACGACACCATCAGAAGTGGATGACGAGGCTGGAGGTGATGGGGAAGTCTGAAAATTACGGTATGTTGGCGAAAATGGGTGTGCAGCTCTTCAGGGTAAATCGGTCTTGAAAGTAATTTTAAAGACATACAGGATGCCCCGAAAAATTGTCAAACATTTGATCGCTCAAATTCTCCTTTCATTATCATTTGCAGGACGCGTTTTAACTTAAATTTACGACTTAGAAAGGAACAAACAATTTTCTTCATTACTGTAGGGTTATGGTAGGAACTTATGTAGCGCCTTGCGCCTACGAAGGCATACTTGCTCACAAATTTCCGAAAGACTGAAAACTTTTTCGGCAGGTTGACTAGCATTGCTGATTCTATAAACGAACTTTTGGCTTCACGTAATTTCTAAATTAGAAGTTATTACGGCTTGTTTATAACAGCGATTGCACAAAAAAGATGCATCCTAACTACTCTACAAACACGCGCAAAGTTATTCGCTAGGATGGCAAGGGAAAAAACTCTTAGCATTAAAATATCAGACATATTGAAAACTTCTGAAGTAGCTATTTGTAATGACAACATCGTGCGGGAGCTCCTACCGTAATCCTACAGTAATGAAGAGAGATGGATGAATTTTGCACTGTAAATTTAAGTCAAAGCCAGCGCTAGAAAATGTTCCGTAAACTGATGACACAGGAGAGTTATTTGCTATACAATCATACATTAAGGGCGGCCATACTTCACGCGGATTGAGTCGCGACGCGATTTGGCAATTCGCCAGAAGTCTTAAGATCCAACACTAGCAAACTGCGCATGCATAGTGTGCATGACTTACGTTGATTGATAAATAAAATGCCCTATCTTCTGTACATTTGAAATGTGCTTACAGTGAGTTATGGACAGTTGGAATATTGCCAAATTGCGCCGCGACTGAAGTCGCGTGAAGTATGCCCGGCCGTTTACATCATTTTAAGACACCCTGTAATGAACCTTGGTAATTTGGGCAAGTGTGGGCCATGCCCCTACCGAATCACTACTTTTCGAGGCTCTGCGGCTGAGGTTTCCTGTTTGATGAAGCTTGATTAGTTCTTCAGCAAGGGACACCCGTATCCCTGGAAAATTTCCTCGCTTCCAAAGCCGAGGCATCTTGTGCCTCGTGCCTTGCCGAAGTCAAAGGTGAAGGTCCCATGTACCCGCTTCATTCTCAACCGTTCCCACTCCCTAAATCACATATCCAGTCATCTGACAGCTTCGCCTCGTGGCAGTGTCAGGCCGTCACCGGTAGGACCCAGTGGCGAGCATATGTATGTGGCTTGGCGCATAGGCGTGGGAGCCCATAATCTTTCTTAGCGATCTCTCTCTTCACCAGGCGGCTGGCGAACACTCAAAAACTGAACGCGAAGCAATGAACCGAATCGCCACATACTATGAATAATCGCCACACACATCTGATTAGAATAAAACGGCACCCATCCAAGCCACAGATGACAACTGTCGGGCGCTCGCCGGCCGAGATGTGCCGTCGACGGTTTTGCGGCCCGGACGATGTGCACAGCAGACGAGCATCCGGGGAGCAATGCGGGGAGAAGAAATGATCGTTTACGAATGAATCATTATTGTCGTGAAGCAGATGCGCATATTCATCTCTTGAAGAGCAGATTATGTTCTTGGGGAGAAGCAATGGCAGAGGAAGTTCCCGAGACACTTTGCAGTAGAGAAAAGTTGGAGAATTTTGAGTTCAGCACAATATAAAAAAAAAGGTCCGAGGAACTACCCAACGCATCAGAACACTTCTATAAAAGGTTACTTCGAGTCTGGTTTCGAAAGATAATTTTTTCATACAAAAATATTAACAGCATTATTTTTACAGAAAAATTGTGCTCACTTGGTTCGAGCGGAAAACTAAATTCAAGATCTGGGGCAAGAAACTTATCGATAGAGGAAAGCAGAAACCAAACTCTACAAGATGCTCCTCAAGCATTTACATCTTAATGACTGAATCAAAATTTGAAGGTAAGATTTTTTAGTCTTGCCAAAAATAAGAACTCCGCTCCAAAAAATCTTTGAAAGTTCATTTGCTTACAAACATAGAAGAATACAAATATTCCTACATCACGTACTGTAATTTGAACAAAAAGAGTTACAAAAAAATTTGCAATTTTCATTTCACCAACTCTCGGCGGTTTACTACAAACTTTCACAGTTACAAGCATAGATTTACGTTCGTATAGGCGCTAGTTCCTGGAAAAATTGGAATTTACTTCCTCCCCCCCCCCCCCCTCAAAAGCTTGATTCTCTAAATCTCATGATTTGAGAGATACAGCTGCAGAGCAAATCGAAAATTTTTTTATCCGATTAAATATGTTTGATCTCTCTCACATGCACTCGAACGTGGTAGAAATGGTATCCAAGAAAATTTTCACAAATCATCAGGCCAGTTTTGCAGAAAAGATTACAGACAGACAATGACTAAATAAACTTTTGCTCTTTGCATAGCAAAGTGCATTTTCAGTGGGAAATTTTTAATTCAATCTGCAATACAGAGAAAACTGAGCACATATTTGAGCAGAAGTTTTTTTTCTTCTGAGAAGAAGGTCTTCATACCATTGAATGCTCGAAAATTCGCAAAATTTTATGGCATAGATAATTCGCTAATTTTCATATTATGAGATTTGAAGCAGGAAAAGTCGATATTAGTTTGCGCCCTAAGTTTTTTTTATTTTGCAATAATTCATCAAGGGTTTCACTTACTTTGACCTTCTAAACTGGCTTAAGGTCTGAGAGAAAATTATGGAATGCGTGAAATGAAGAAGAGCGGGAAAAATAGAGAATTTCTACTTATGGGATTGCAATGAGCGTCTACGAACGCGAATAAATGTGCATTTCGAGAGTCTGGAGTAAATCCTCACCTCAGAGAGCACATCAATCGTCGGACTGGCGGCATTAGTGCTTTCCATTGTCACTGCTGACGCTGGCCAGGCTATGGCTTCAAACTTCTGACTTTCGATGCTACCTGGCAACTGTGGCGGTGGCCGGGGCTCGTCGTCGTCGTTCGTCATCTCACGAGGGTACGGTACCGCTCAAGGTCTCGAGGAGCACGACCGGGTGTCACCAATGGAATCAGCACGGGGCGGGGCGGCTGCCACAAAGCCGCCTGGCAGCAGCGCCCCGACATCATGCGGATTACGGTAGCCGCACACATGAAGGGTTGTAAATAGAGGCGAGAACGAACGTGCGAACAGATGCTGAGGCTGGAAGGACACTTTTGCGTATAATTTTGCGGCCTTTAGCGGGTGTTATCAAACTTCAAGCCAGATACGAAATTTTAGAAGTTTGAAAACGAAATATCAAAGCAATGCGATATATCAGACTCTTTTTGAAGAGCTGAGCGCAATGTTTCTTTCAGGTCCAGAATATATTCATTCCTTGGGAAGTTGTGACGCAGCGTAGTTTGCGTGATTCGCGTGATTTCGCAGGGTCCACTGAATGTCGCGCGATCACCGAAATGTCGCGGGGCGTCGCAACATTCGGGGAATTTTGCATGTTTTGTGAGGTACTGTGTATGTGAATCCTGCAAGGATGAAATCTTTTCGCGAATAAAAACTGCAGGAGTTTGCACAAAATCTTTGCGATTCGCTTTTCCCGCACTAACTAAATCAACCTAGCCAGACACTTGAACAGAACCCTTGGACAAAAATCGTCATAAATCAAATCAAGCAAGTGGTTGGCTAACGAGCTCCACAAAGCCGTTGTGCCCGTGTCCTCTCGATAAAACGAAATTATACTGGAGCCGATAAGCTAGGTGGATGCTTTGTTATGCTTTGCACTTGCGAATTTTTTGCGATTTTAGAAAGCCATACTATAATAGAAAGGAAAGAGGGTGGGGGGGGGGGGAGGGTGTGAAAGGTTGAGAACTTTTGCTGTTGTATTGGTCTCCTTTTGGCGAAGTAAATAAGCCGTTGAGCGTTATCAGTTTTCAATATTTGCATTCTACTACAGTCTTTAAATTATTTCAAAATTAGATTAAAAAAGGAGTTGACTGTGCGAAAGTTTACGAGCATAACACAACAAGAAATTTGTAAATTTGAACCAGAGGCCCGACTTTTCTTAAATGAATGTATCAGGTTAATTCAAAATGCTTGCACCAAAATTTTTGAAAATTGTAATTTGTCCAAGAAAAATTCGTTCAACTTATAATAGTTCAGAAATAGAAGATTACGCGCTTTTCAATAGCGTTTGGAGATAAGAATCCATTTTTTCATATCACGGTGATACAAGCTGATTGAGAGAAAAACTCTAGTTGAACCTTTTCGATTCATAGTCTTGAAATACAAATGCTAGATGGTCCAAGGAAACCTGATATCATTTTTGATTGTGGTCTTACGATTTCCTTTTTTAGATTATGAGCGATCAATAATGCCTGCATGTCCTACTAATGGTTATATTTTTGACTTTTCAACTCGACCTTTCGATTTTGTTTCAAGTAAAGTTCTTAATATAGATATCAAGTAAAAGACTTATTGTAGGTTTCAAAAAATATAAATTATGACTGAAACGTTGTTTTGAACATTTTTTAGGTGAGTTTCTAGCATTTTTGGAGCAAGACTTATTATTCAACCTAATATAACCTGATAACGCTTCTTTTACACAATCAATCAATAATTTTCGAACGAGGGATTGCGACAAGTATAAGTTGTTAGCGCAAAGCTCACTGATAAGAGTGGAATACGAAGTGGAAAATTATCTTACTCAAAAGTCCCCTTCCTCGTCTCTCTCCCCCTCCCCCCCCCCCCCTTCTATTCTGCTTGTCTCTCGATCCTTTCAAACTAAGCATTTCTGAAAAATAATATAGAAAATATGTGAAATGAAATGCAATGAGGCATAGTGTAAAAGCAAGATTTTATGTTTGTGTGACAATCGTGAAGTGAAGAATGCTCGCAGATGGTGCTTGGCGACCAATGCTCGGCTTATTTCAATTTCGGGCCACTATCCTCGACCTCCCACTGTGCGAAAACGACTCTCGGCTTAGATGCAAAGCGATTGCCCTCGAATTATGTAAATCACATCATGCGTTGATCTGCTCATAGATGAAGCGTTTTATGTGCACTACGGAAGAGCCGAAGCCTTTTGAAGAATATACTCACCCAAAATGATTAGCTAGGGGTGGTAATGACTAAAGGTACCGTCCACCCAAATTTCTGAATTCCACGTTTTTGTCGTTTCAGGGCCTTCTCATGTTCCTGATTCCGATGAAGTCGAGAATGCTCGAAAACCCCGACAATCCCCGTTCCGGAGAACCCACAGGCCGGCTTTCCAGAACGGTGATTGGATGGGCGCGCACAAATGGGTGGGCATGGATGGGGAGGGAGGGTATGGATGGGGGTCCTCGCTATTCCGAAGAGATTTTCTCGCTTCCGAAGCGGCATTTTGCGCCGCGACTTGGGCATTGGATTGGTAGGGGGCCCTATTCTATGCTGCCAAAAGCTCTACACCTTCAACTTAGGGTGGACGGTGCCTTCAAGGGCAGTGTCTTCAGAATTTCATCTTTTCGGAGCCTTCTCGCCATAACAAACCCAAATCTGAGCTTTTCAACGCATGAAAATGGCGGAAATAAGCTTTTTCAGCTTTTCAGGTCCGCATTCAGTGGAGAATACACGCAAATGGGCGGGGACCGAGCGAGGGGGCGGGGCTCGAAAGGCTACCGGCGCATCTTCACTGAATGTGAACCTAAAAAGCTGCGGAAAAAGCTCCTTTTTGCCATTTTTATGCGCTGAAAAGCCCAGATATAGATCCATCATGGTGAGGAGGCGAGGAGGCTCAGAAAAGGTGAAGACTAGAGTGCGAAATTGCCGACACTGCTTTGAGATGAACCGTTTATGTCCGATCTTCTTATTCCTAATTTCTTTTAGCATTGATTTGTAAAAAGTGCAAATGTATTTCCTCACATTCTCACCAAAGCAATCGCAGTAATAGAAAATACTATAGCTCAATCCCTTTTGGGTAAAGCGCAGTCACTCATTTCGTTTGCTACTACTACGTTTATCATCAGACGAAGGCGATCCAAATAATTTTGTAAGCCGAGTATTTTCCCTCTGTGACTCACTCGCTAACGTGGTAAAGTTGTTCAATGAGTCAGTGCTTTGAGCTCCTAATGGAGCAATTGTCAAAAGATGAATTTAAAAGTGAGAAAACGTGTTCGGAAAGTAGAAACGGTCACGCTGGCCCCCGCCTATCAAGCCGGTGATCTGGGGATAACAAGTCCAAATTTGAGCTCTATTGTATCCAGAACTGTCAGAGATCCGCCTTCTAAAACGACCATCAAATTCATCACCCTTCTATCGACCCTGAAGCCCAACTTCGGACTTGTATCCTCAGAGCACTTACGTTTTGGGCGGAGCGTGCTTGGCCGCTTCAACCTTCTGGAGCGGTTCTCTCGTTTTGGAATTCATCTTTTATAACGAGATTTGGAATGCCGCTCAGTTATGGGTCCAGCTACCACATAACATCGAAATTCTATCACATTCATTCTGGATGAACGGGACCTATGATTCCTTTACTCTACTACCAGTTTAGCCGCAGGATACTTTTCTTGATTTTTCATCGGAAGGTTAGAATATTATCAATTGCTTCTATCTCCAGATGCTGAGCGGAGTCACCAATAGCGTCACCTGAATTCTTTGGATAATGGTTACTCAAGAAAATTGCTTGGGCAACGTAGAAAGAGATGATCATCTTAGACTTACCTTAGTTGAGTTAAGACGACGAAGGTTTACTAAGTCTCTCACGCAAGAAGTCAATCAGGTTCGAGGATTCATATACAGGCACTTCGTTATTAGCTAAAGAAGAAATTCAATTTTTGAGTTTTACAATGTGCGATACACATCAATAACATATTGATTAGCATTGACGATTAATGTAATACTCCTGCAGTGCCAATAACACCTGCACGTAACATCATCATGGACGAAAAGTCGAAAATTACGTCCTGTGACCATTTCAAACACTCCGCAGGATTCGGCATCAAAAGCGTGGCGATTTGTTCACGCGCATATGTTGTAAGCACCACGAATGCACTGTAAGAAGCATTTTTGCAAATCAATAAAATGTCATATCATCTTTAGATTTTAAGATGAACGATAAACAATTACGAGTATTGTCAAGTACAGTTTGTGTCAATCAAGTACTCTTTTTCTTATAGGAACTACACATGCGCAGCGCGAGGGTCTCGCATGCGAACCTCCAAATGTGAATACGCAAGCAGTACGCGCGCGAACGTTCAGCGAAGCTCTGGCGTGTCGATAGCGCTTACGGAAAAGGGAACATGTGATTGACACAGACCGGATGCTCGGGGCCTTCAGCAAAGCTGCTATATTGAATTCAATATGTTACTCTATAGGTCCTATGCTATGAATGAGAGATGTCACAAGACTACATTCCAATTCAATCGATGCTTAGCACAAAAAATCACGTTCCGCGGTGATCAATGTCTTGACATACCTTCAATATTTGGTAGAAGAGCATGTTATGAAATAAAAGTGGAAAGTCGATATCCTCAACAACATCAATGAAATCGGGTACGTTCGTCAGTTTATCCCAACCTTAGCTGCCATAAGCAATGCCAAGGATTACAATTCACCAGAGAAGACAGCAAACTCCAAACATTGCTGAATTGTGCATAGCATCCCTTTAGTTGCAGTAACGTGCTAGAACGTCAGGGCTGACGTGTAATAAGACAGTTTGACCGGTCAAGTCTTCTTATCAAAGGGTATATAAGCGTGAAAAGGAGTAGGACCTCATTTTGCACCATCCTGGTTGCTATCGCATGGTCGGCGATATGAAACAATCGTGCATCGTACTGTTCTACGTACTGGTCAGCTGGGATCGCTCAGAAGACTGACTTCAAGATGACGGCTACACTTTGCAGGCTATTGCGATTGATGCACTAGAGTCTGATGCGGCCGCAGGGGAAGAAAAAATTGTGAAAATTTCCGATCCAGAAGTAAAGGTAAGCGATTTAGCCAAAAGATGAAGTCTGGCAAGGAAGCTGGATTCTGGTCGACAAGAAGCTCAAGAATCTTATGTTCAACTGAACAGGTTCAACCAAAAAGTTTATCGGAGGCAATTGTAGCCTGCCGGATCAGCAAACGGCACTATATAACACTAGTCTTAACGACGGCACTTCTTCAATCTGCACCCGCCATTAGCAAGAAGTCAAGCTCAAGCATAGCGATGGTTATGAGCAGAATAGTCGCTCCTATCCCCTCAGCGGGATGGTCGAAAGGAACCGACAAGATGGCTTTGAGTGTGTATGGCGGTTCGTACGATCGTAATGCTTTCCACGACCACGGCCGCGCGCGAAACCCCTGCGAAAGCTTTTGCCTAAGGCCCCGGACAGACTTCACGCATTTGATCGTCGCGACTGAATCGCGACGAGACAACTGTTACAACATCATTCCATGCCGATCAACTTGCATTTCGGTTGTGATACTTTTCCAGCCCGAAATTTTTGGTGGAATGAAAATGAATGGAAATGTCGGCGATTGAGTCGCGACGATCAAATCGCGTGAAGTCTGTCCGGGGCCTAAGCAAAGTATCTGGGGGAGAAGATTTGCGACGTACGCGACGTGTTAAGACAAGTCGAAATCAGGGCTTCGCTGGTGACCGCTCGTTCGAAAACACCGTCTCCTGATGGCTTTCAAGCATGTCTCGATCAAAGAAAACCAGAGACCAAATTTTCTCATGGTTAGTGCGACACGGCATAGGTACGCGCGGGGTGAATGCTGGGATGTGCCGTCAGCTCAAAGGCACCGTCCACCTAGATTGTCGGCTTCCATTTTTTTTGTCGTTCTGGAGCCTTCTCACGATGGAGCCTGATTCCGAATATCAAGTCAAGAATCCGCGAAAACCCCGACAAATCCCCTTTCGGAGAACCCGCAGGAGTTGTGCGGAACGGTGATTGGTTAGGTGCGCTCAAGTGGGCGAGACGAACGTCACACTCACTCAAAAGGGAGGAGCGTGGCGATTTCATCATCCAAAGCAATTTTTGAAGCAATTTTCTCGCTTCGGAAGCAACGCAGCGCGAGTTGGGCAAGTATACAGCTAGGGGCCATACTATTGAGGCATCAAAATCTCATGGACCACAAACTGGGTGGACGCTGCCTTTAAGGGCCGGACATACACTACGCTATTTCTCGCGATTCTCCCAACAAACCACTTTTACAAGTCTGTTTCATGCTGATCATCGTGCATTTCTTTTGGAATGGCTACTCGTGATTAGTCGAGTCGGAAATTTCTCACAAGCGATATACAAGGTGATCGGTATGTAATTGACTCGTAACGGTTATCTTGTTGTAAGAATCGCGCGGCGATGAAACGGCGTAATGTATGCCTGCCCTTTGATTCGATGAGGAGAAGGCAACCTACTGAGGTGTCAAGGCTGAACCAAATTGCTAACTACTTTCAGCCATAACATACATGATGTGCTTGTCAGACCAGCTGAATGTGCTATAATGCGCACAAATTTTGCGGAATCACTTACTATTTATATACATAAATGGTCCGTTTTCGAGTGGCGTGCAAGCCCCAGCACAAAAGTTTCCGATGATCCCTGTCGCTCGCCTTAGACATGCACGATCTTCTTAATTGATCTTCTTGGTGCACGAGTTCCAGTCGCAAGAAGCGTAAACTGACTTCTCCGTCCAGCCATTCCACGAACGCATCTGCCCATCTCTTGATTGGTCTTTCTCGAGGACGTTTTGCTTCGCGAGGAATTCACTCTGGCGTTCTCATTGTCCAGCAGTCTGTTCTTCTCATGATTTGAAGCCCAATCCCTGCTTCGCTTTCGCAACGTACTCTGCCGAATCACAAAGACGAGACAATATTCTTATATCCGTACTGCGTAGTCCGAGATGTTGTTTTGTCACGTATCTTCAGAAGACTGCGCTCAAGCGTTTTATGAGTGGTCCGCAGAGCATTCGACTTGGCTACAGTGTCGGCAGTAGTCTCCTCTGCGTAACACAGCGCCGGGAGAACGGTTAAGTCGAACAGGTGGGCACGAAGCTCGGTCCGTCAGTTGGTCGGTGGCTTTCTTCAGAAGCCCAAAGGTGGCCCAGGCGCTCCTCTTCGCTGTCAAGTTCTTCCCTCAATTCGTTCTCCATGTTTTACAGTGTCCGAGAAACACGTACAAAGACGTCTCCCTAATAGGGGTGCCTTCCAATTCGATTGTCGCATCCTCGCAAAGCGGTTCATCATGAACTGAGTCTCCCCCGGATTTATTCATCCAAACTTTTTTCCTATCGTCGATTCAAAACGCACAAAGACTGGGCGCCATTGCGCACGACCAAAATAGCTGGTGCGTGGGAGAGACAGCAGGTGGTAAGAGGAACGAAAGAGCGCTTGATCACAGAGGCGCCGATAAGTCCGCAGTCTTTGTGCGCAACGAATCGAAGGTACTTCGCTTAGCTCCTTAGATGTTGCCAGAACAAAGGTTCGACTGGAATTTCCCATCAAGCCTTATGCCTCTTTCGTCCCAGTAATGTGAATTCATCACTCACTGCAAGGTTTTGGTGAACAGCTTCGGCGAAATAGTTTCACCTTGTCGGACTTGCTTCTCAACTGGGACATCAGGGGACGATGGTATGGCTCCATCGTCCTTGGCGGGATATGTGCTCTCTAAACTGGGTCCACTCCATGATCGAATAGCGCTGAAAGAATGACGTCGCGGCGTGTCGAAGGCTTTCTCATAGTAGAGCAGAATAGGATGAGAGGCAGTTGATACCCTCGGCAGACTTCTATGACAAACGTCTGGACGTGGTCCATGCAGCTACCTACGAAATCCAGCTAGTTCTTAGGGCAAGGCTTCATCCAGTGTCCTAGATATACGAGCGAGGATAATCTTTGTGAAAAGCTTATACAGCACACTTAGCAGGCATATGGAACGGTAGTTCCAAAGATCCTCTCTTCACTTTCTTAAAGAGAAGGACGGTCGTTGACAGTTCTCCACTATTCGGGATCCTTTCTGTCTGAAGGTAAGATGTTAGATACTGTGAGGAAATCTCGTGTAGACGTTGTTCTCCGACTAGTAGAAGTTCAACGGAAAGATGATCTGGTCCTGGAGCCGTGGACGTTTTCAAGGTCTAAATCATGATACTTCAGCAAGTAGAATCCGGTGGTACTTCTCCAGTGCAAACAACGGGCACGGGTGTTTGCGAGCGAAAGAGGTTGGTGTAGAAGTTCTTCGCGATATATTCCCCTATATAAAGAAGAAGTCGGAGTTTTCGGAATATAGCAGCCAGCGGTAGTGATATTCTCTGAAGTTCCTTTGACACTTCACAGGACTTCCCTTCTTCGACTGCTTCAGCAGCTTGGCTTTACTTCCTGAGATCCTCCTGCAAAGCTGTTCTGCAACTGGCGTAGGCTATCAGTCGCTCGAGATGAGTTCCATTCTAATCACACCTCAAAGATCTTCTTCTTCCCGAGATATGTTTATAGTTCTCCTCAAAGATCACTGAGGCGCACTCATCGCAGGCTCGCATTCCTTTTAGAACTCGCTCGTAGTTGTACGCCGGGTCCTCCTCGATGGGCCAGTTAAAGCCTTTCTATCTTGTTACCCTTATAAACTTTCTTTCCTTCTTACAACACTATGGCAGACCTTCTTTTCCAGCTTCCCACTCAATCACTCGAAGAAGCGGCTCTACCCTGTTGATCGCGCTTAGTATCTGTGTATACTCTGGCCATCCTCTCAAGTTGTCCCTCAAGAATTGCGTGTACTATCCCCTATCGTAGCGGTAGGATTGGCTTCCCTGCCCAGCCTCTCGAGTACAACACAAAAGTCCGCCATGCTTTGGCCCTCTCTACGTTTCAATTGTCTAAGATCTGTGAGTGACCTTGAACTCCCTGCTGTTGAGTCATTAGCTAATAGTTTCCTCAACGTTTCCGTCACACTTTCAAACCCCCTACACTTGACTTCTTCCGGCAATGCCATAAAGACACTCTTCGCCCTTTCTTCGAGGTGGTCATCCCCCATTATCTCAACCAGCATCTTGTCATCCCTTAGTACCCCTTGATACTTCTTTTTGAACCTTCTCAAAAATTCCTCGAAATTCTCATGCCTGCCACCCTTGAACACACCAGGGTTCACGCATGCGTTGGCTTGCATGAAGGCTATCAAACTTTGAGAATGACCTGTCTCCTCCTCGTTCCGCAGATGTGGCCTGCAGCACAATTCTGGGGGGTTCCCATTCCGTGTCTGCGTGGGTCATGCGTTCTGTAAACATCCGCGATAAGTTCTCTGTTGACTGTAATCCTCTGTACTATCCTGACCTGTACTACTTGGGCCTACATCCATGTTTTCCACTGTGTCTCTCGGCCCGTTGAGAGCGCTCTTGTGTACTTCAGTGAGCACATTCATTAAGTGGAATACATCAGTACTGCACACTCTGCAGATGTCATTTATCAAATCTGTATCCTTTCCCATTGTGATGAGGTATTCCCTTAAATCATCTGCTGATTCAATGCCTCTTTCCAGCAAAAGAAAGCAAAACTTCCTTATGAAGTCTCCTATTTGCTTCCATTCCCCCTTGATTCTCTCTAGCTCCTCGTTTACTGACTTAGCCTGTTCCCCTAAGACTTTATCAATTTGTTCTCTGTATTTTCCCGCTATCCTTGCCTCTTCTGTTTCTCTCCGTACTTCTTCAGGCCCGGTTTGTATCCGCCTCATTACCTCATCTACCCTTTTTAATGTGTCTCTCATCTTTTCCCCTATGTTTTCAAGGCTCACCTTGGTACCCTGGGCTGTTGCGGCTTCTGCGGCTTCTGCGCCCTTTTTCGCACCTCCTCTGGCGGTACGGCTCTCCGCCATCTTGATACTGAAATCAATAAATTTGATTTCTTTATTTATTTCAGTTTCCACGGTGAAACACGACGATGCAACTTCTATCTATCGACCGGTTCGGCCCCCATGTAGCCCTTTCGGGCCTTTCGGGCTCGGTACGATAGACAGAATGGCTCGCTAGCCTCTTGCACGAAACAAATACACCAGTTTACGAAACAATTTATTTTAAACCAGTGCGTCACCTCTGCTTCGCAGAGGCTCGCACTAGCTCTACTTTCTGTTTGCCTTACCCATTCCGGCATAATAATGACATTGAAACTCACCGCGCTATGCAGGCTATCACGAATGATTTGTAAACAACTATTCATTCTGAGACCCTTTTGTGTGAAATCGGTATTTTCGCGTGGATGGAACTTTTCCGGGAAGAATAAATGCAAATTTGAGCCGGTTTTTGGATTTTATGGTTTGGTAGTCGCCGTAACGACGATGATCACCGTGGGCTGCATCTTTATGCAAAAATCTCCTCAAATAATCAGGTAAAATCTTGGCAAATTGATCATTTACGCAACTAATTTTTTTCGGCGCTATTTTCGTAAAGTAATCGACTTTAGTTCAATTTTTGGGCTAAAGTCCATGGTTTGCACATTAGCTTGTTAATCATTTTCATAACTTTGCAAAAAGTGTGGTACAGGCTCAATTTTGCTGGCCAGAAGCCAAGTGGATCCGTTTGAAGCGCAATTTTTGAGGGATCAATCAACGGATCCGCTCGTGCTTTTGCATAGCGGACTTTCATGCTGCTGGCGTGCGCCCTGCAAAATTTGGGCTCAAGAGGTTGGCTGGAACTCGCTCTGCGAATTTCGTAACGGACAGACAGACAGACAGACACCCACATAAAAACACGTAAACAACCCTTAGCCCGTTATTATAAGTAACTAGCTGGCTTACCCGGCTCCGCCGTATGTTCCGAATGTAAAATTCCATTTCTTAACCGATCCGGACCAAACTTGGCACACATACACTTCGGGCCCCGGCGGGTGTCACAGTCCACTTTTCGTTGTCGATCGATGTCGATTTTATCCCCCACCCCCGTGGGGGTGATCAGCATGCTGATTACCCCCCTGTGCCAACTCCCAGCCCTGTAGCTCAAATTTTCCAAAAAATCGATAAAATCGATATCGATCGATGACGAAAAGTAGCCTATGCCACCCGCCGGGGCCCAAAGTGTATGTGTGCCAAGTTTGGTCCCGATCGGTTCAGAAATGGAATTTTCTATTCGGAACATACGTACATACATACAGACAGACATACAAACAGACATTCAGCTTTATATTAAAGATGATAAAACATCCTCGAAAAAAATATATAAAATCAAAGGGGTAACTGGTAGATGGGATAAAAACAGAAAAAAAAACTATCCAGAGAATGGAGAAGTCCTCGGATCCCTCAGCGCCGCACTATTTATCCTCAAAATGCGCGCCCAAACGGTCGCTTGGCGGCCCTCTCGTAGGTCGCCACCGATGATCTCCACATGCTCCCCCCGTCAGGAGCCGATGTCCTCAGCGGCTGGTTCTGTTTGAGTTCTGGCAACGCTATCTGCCTCGAGACTCTTCTTCTGACACACTCATATAACATTTTCGCACAAGCCACTGGACTGTCCGAGCTGTAATAAAAGAGGCATCCTTTCGGGGCTCCTGCTTCAATAAGTATTTTGCCGTTCTCCACTTTGGTGTTCACCGTGGTCACTGTCCTGACTTTGCTTGTCTCAGAAGCGTTTGGTCAAGAACCTTCCATAATTCTGAGAGCCGCTTCCATTCTTCCTCGATCTTCCCCACGACAGGCGGCCAAACCGTTACTACTTTCCACCCTCTTCAAATTGCTGCATACACATCTCTACTGCGCAAATGTCGCTCTTCATCGCAATTTTGTCCCTTGGCCATACTACTACCCACGTCTTATGTTTTTTCCCACTTGCAGGACCTCTCTGAGCTGCTTGAAAGTTGCCGCAACTCTTGTGTGTATGCCCCGTTTGGGTCCACTCCTCTCTAGCAGAGTTGCAGATACACGAATACACGAATGCCGTTCCTCCTTCCTTCATGGGTGCGTGTCCTTTCTACTCGACCTCGATCTCAGCCTTGGCTCTTCTGAATGCCGCGTCGTAGATTTTGTCGAATTTGTAGTTTTCGATCCTCTCGTGCCTCTTTACCCCCTCATTTGCACAAATAAATTTCGTCCAATCGATACATCTTTTGTATCTTTTGTATTCACTGTGACCATTTCACTCTAAGAAGCCATTTCAAGAAGCTGGAAAACGAGGCTCACATGGCATAGTCTTTGTTCGTCATGCCTTTAGTAGCAGCACAAAATCAAGACGTGAGAAGCGTCCAGACATGGAGTTTTCAAGCTGTTCCCAACCCGGCATGTTCAGCATACTTTTCCAAAGCTTATGATGCATGTGCAGAACTTGCCTAAGCAGAGACCGATTCATGCAACTAATTATGTAAGTTGATGGGGTTACTGTCGCATAGCCGTTGCGATTTGAAATTACTGTCCGGGAAGTCAGGAAGTCAATTCTAAGATTTTGTGCTTACCTGGGCCTATTCGCTATGCTGAACCTGAAAATCCACACTGGAGAGCGCGGAAATGGCGCAAAAGAGCTCTAGCAAGGTGAGAAATTAGCAGGTGGGCAGGGTCTCTTCCACTATGGATTCGCGCTCCCAGCTTGCGAAGCAGTTTTCTCGATTACAATTTCAAGTCAATCGTTCGCACTTGGCCGGTGCCGATGAGCAGCTAGTGGAATTAAGAAGATCCCTCCGGAAACTGGGAGCGTGAATTCAGAATGGGGAAAACCCTGCCCACTTGCTGAATTCAGTCCTACGTTGGAGCCCTTTTTCGCCGTTTTGGCGCTCTCCAATGTAGATTTCCGGATTCAGCATAGCGAATAAACCTGGATAAGCACAAAATTTTAAAATCGACTTTTTGCCCGGATACTGCCTTTAAGAGTGTGTTCGAGGCCGAGCCTACTTGTGTGGAGATAACGAATGTGAATATCTTTACTTCTCTAGGTCGCATCGTCGCCAATTCTCGCACAGTCCGTGAACGTTCCAAGGTATGACGAACACGGTGACATAAAGGGCTCGGAATATAGGATGCAATGTGGTTTGGAGCAAAAAACAATTGGAGATGCTTATGCTAGGTAAGTATGACTTTATTCTAGGTGCTCTAAGGAAAAGCGAGGAATGATGAAACAAGGCACCATTCAGATGAATTTCAGCGGTAGGCTAAGCGAGGCCATTGTTGGTAGTCTAGAACGATAGCAATAAAGAAATTTTTCATTTCGGTATCTGAAATAATAATCAACGTGTAGGTGAACAAATCATTTATGCTGCTGCGTGACAAAGATGCAGTGTCTTTTGAACGCGAACACGGTGTCATTAGCCTCGCAGAGCGCATAAGGCTCAGGACTTGCAACGGTGAAAATACGCGCGCGCAGCGTTCACACCCGCTCAAATATAGTCATAATACTGCTTCTGCGCCTTCGTCATGGAGCAGCCTTTAGAAACCACAACGAGGTAGTTGTTTACAACTTTTGGATTTCTAATATGTTGGGTTGAGATTCCGGGACAGGTTTTAGCACTCTTATGTCATAATAACAAATATAATATCACATTATCAAGTTTTGTCAAATGAGCAGACGCGATAGAGTGCGCAAACAATCGCAGTTGATAGACTGATTTTGGACCTGGCTACGGAGAATTATTTTACACTAGAGGATTTCATTGTGATGCTGTCTTGAAAACAGCAACTACCCTATCAAATTCAACCTTCGATATGGCACAAACAATGGTGTGTAAAATATAACATTCCGTACTAAAACAGTGAACATTTAGAATTAAACAGCGAGATAGTTTCTATCATAATCGCCTAGACTGTGAGTCACGACCCATTCCCCGGCCAAGAGGCACGATCGGCGCAATTTTTTCGCGATGCCGCAAGCGAAGTCAGTCTTACAAAAGCGGCACTCCCATAGGTAACATTATAGCCCGAGTCATGTTTCTCTCTCTTCCCCCCCCCCCTCCTCTCCCCCTCTGCCACCCCTGTATCCCTGCTGCCGTGCCACTTCAAAACCAGACTTTTGTAAGGCACAAAATTTGAGGGCTACCTGCGCGGTACGCGTACCTCTTGACGTGCAGCTCGGGCGCTCAACCTGGGCGATTCCGTGCAGTCAACTATACCTAATTGAGTAATTGCCCGGGTGTAGCTACAAAAGCTGGAGAAATGTTCCACCAGAAAAGGTTGTAAACCTATCAGCTCCGGTGACGTTTAATGAGGGTAATGAGTCTCAAAGTGGGCTTTAAGTTGCTACTAAAACCAAAATTCTGAATTACTGAATGAAAGGCCTCTCTTGGTTTTTGTACCACTCCGAACAGTGCTAGGTTAGCGTATTTTTACCTTCACACCATTCAAATCCAGGCAGAACGGACACTTTCACATCTTCTTCTAAACCGATTCTCTCCAAGCATGTTTTGTTACAAGATTTTGACAACAACTCAGTTTTATGCGGAAGTCCTTGCGGCAAGCATAGTTAGAGGTCCACAAGCGTGCAAATTCTTATTATTGTCCTCAGTTTTGGGCGGAGGGTGCCGCTGAGAATGAAAAAATAGTACTACATTGCAGAATCTTTAGGTGCATGCCAGACACCAACGAAATTGTTGAGATCGGAACGAATGCCACTATGACTCAGAGATATTGCAGAAGGTAAGTATGATACAAAGGCAAACTTGAAACTAAAGGCTAAAAGCAACAAACTTGTATGTGATTTACTATCAGCCACACAACCTTGAATGTGATAGTTTTCAGAATACATACGCTAGTAGATTTGATGGTAAATATTTTCTCACGGTGCCGAGATTGGTCGACAGATGTTGCGAATGCCCTGCGCCTGTCATGTCGACAATTTACGCGTCTAGAATGCCGGCACTCCAGGCTTACTGTCTACGCGCAAATTTTGTTGCCCAATGTCAGCAAAGCAAGGATACCATATATGCGTCAGATCTACTAGTCTATAGCTTTTTCGACTGATGGATGCCGTCTGGTATAATTCCGCAAAGATTTCCAAAAATCATACGCATGCTGAAAAGCTTTTTTGTAAGATTGGTACCTTTTTTGCTTAAACATGTGCAAAATTTAAGCTTTTTGGAGAAGCGCAAGTATATACATGTTTAAGCATCTAGAAAGGTAAGACATGGAGGCACATAATTTCCTCCATGTCGTATAGTCATTCTTAAAATCGTGACGACGAGTTTGACTGCGGTTTTTGCGCACGCAGGAGCATAGAGTACGTATACAAGCAGGCATCACCTCAATGCTTGCCAGTTCCAGTGTCAGAATACTATCTTTTGCAAAAAAAAACCATTCGAGTAGAGATAGAAATCGAGAAATTGCGGTTGCTGGTTGCGTGCGTGTTGCGCGCGCTCGCAACATCGTCACGATTTTCAAGTGCCCTATACATTTCCTTAAAACATATCAAACGCCGTGTTACATCGCCTCTCATAGGAGAGTTCAGGATAGTCATTTGCAAGCCGGGAAATAGAACTGAGATCTGCGACAGAAACTCAATTGCAATCTGGTTTCCCGAAAAACACAAAGTAGTCAAGACTAACAGCGTAGAAGATATATCGGGCTCTTACTCTTACGAGGTGAACTGCACGTACCCTGTCACAAAGACGAATAATCATACATTTCATTGGAGGTCAAAAAAGGCGACATTGTCTACATCGTCGATCCAGGCTGTGAACTGACCATCCCTGGTACACATAGACTGAGACACAGGTAAGAAGACAGTCATTGTTTTCCAAGAAGAAATTCTAGCTGATGTACAGTCCGTGTCAACGATGTGCTCTCTTTCCGATCACCAAGTGCAGCGCTGAAGCCTCGTGCCGCATGCGCGGGCGTGTCGTCTGTGCGCTCAAATTCGCCGCATCGAGCGAGGATCGCTGCGCAGTGCCCACGAGCTGCACAGCTGCTGCGGAAAGGGGGCACGTGTTTGGCACAGACTGTATTATGAAACCCCCAACTTTTTGAAAACACGCCAGTTTTGAGCATTTTGTATGCAGCTACGCAACAGATTGAAGTGACCGCTCCGCAAAGGCATATGCGTCGCGGTTTACTTGAATCTGTTCGCTGAAACATGCAGCTTACAGTCTGTTCCATTCTAAAATAGGCCTAAAATAGAATGCCGCTTCGTAATGGTCCGCGTCATATATCGACAGCAGCAGTAACATTTCGTGACAGGATTCATGTCTGCGTACCCCATTCCATCGATATTGACCGGTAAAATGGCGCTATACGCTGCATTCCAGCGCGAAGACGGCTTTGTGGTCTTCCGCAACGCTTCCATAACATATCTTTGACTTCTCTGCATTCTTTTGCAGTTCGAATATTTTACCTTTTTTACTGAGAAAGATTATAAGGAGATATGATAGTACTATCATGAGTTGCTCTATACTAATTTCTGTGTACATGTTTTTGTTTCAGGTTCCAAAACAAGGGTGCTTTTATCAGAGAAGAGTTAAAAATATGGCCCGGATTTTATCTACAGCCTACTTTCTACCATCCACGAGTAAGTTCAGCAGCTATCTTCAACTTTTCAGGTAGGGTATAAGCCGTAGGAAGCATCCTCCTCCTCCTCCCACTTCATATAACAGTTGGAATCTTGAAGATAAAAGCTTAACTACTAACATCGCAACCGATTTAAAGTTCACAAGAAGTTACGGGTTGCTAAATTTTGAAACCGATTTTCAGGTGCTCTTTCGAGGGCGTGGCCGCGATGTTTTCTTGAATCCGCCTGCTAAATTATTATTCAGCAGAGCAAGTCTTAATTTATAATATCTAAAGCCTAGCCAACATTACACACCTTTACACATGAGATTTATTAGACTCGAATCAGTCATCATTGAGCAACAAAGAAAATGACAGGCCTTACTGTTTGATTTTCGGCGATGAACTCCTTTATCAATCTTTCGTCGATTCGTTGACCGCACAGACTGCTAAAACGCTGCGGACGACGCGCGGCGCGGCTGAATTGTCGCGAGAGCACGATTTGTACGATAGCGAATTTGCACTGGGACGAGCGTTTCACCTCGCGTCGCGTGCTCCGCAGTGTCCTCCAGTCCGTGCGGTCAACGAATCAACTAAATCTTTTGTGTTCTTTAAAAGAAAAGGCTTACCCTTCAAAGTTGTGATGTCGCGTCGGCTCACTTCCATACACGAGCTTTATCCAGTTGACACTTGAATTGTTATAGAGCCCTACCAAGGCGAATTAGCCACAATCACCTGTTTTAGAATTTACGGGGTCTGTAGCTAATAAATGACATATCAGTGGAAAGCGCACACCTAATAGGGACAATTACAACCATTCAAAAGAGTCAGGCTTCCTCTTTGGGTAGCCTTGTGCCTCAACCACTTAAAAGTCTAGAAACAACTTTTTTTTTGGAAGTATGAACTCAAGACTCGCCATTAAAAAGGTTCGATCCCAAACTTTTCTCTCCTGACAAGTTTATGGCTTTTAAAAGAGCCTCTAATCCGAAAACTCCTCGTCAAATTGTTGTTGTGGCGTACAGTCATTTATAATAGCAAAAAGCTGGCTGTACGTTCGAAAAAAGAGACCCCTTAATAAAATTCATTTCTCTCTAGACTATCAATGAGAGCCTTGAGGTGGGCAAGAAAATTAGGGTCATTCAGAAAAGTTTGGAAAAGAGAGGGCAGTTCTCAAATACGTGTACCTGACCTAGCGTTGACCTGCATACATCTTATATTGAGCGTAGTTGTCTAGGTCGTGTATCAATTTCCGCCAATACCCATAATCGTGTTGAAAATAATGGAATTAGGCCCATTCTTCGACCGCAGAGATTAGCCGACTGCGCACAGCGCAATGCGGTCAAAACGTTACGGAAGCACGACTCGTACAGTCAGGCCCTTTCAAACGATATCGTTTGGAAGCAGGCTAGACTTCGTTTTCGGGGCGAAAGAGCAAAGGGGACATCGTTTTTGTGGGTCCGAAAATCAGAAGTTAGGTTAGTATTTTTTCGACATTTCCGAAAAGGGTCAAAGGGGACTTCGTAGATCTTTGCGAAAGTCAGGAGGGACATCGTTTTCAAAAAGCCTAAAAACGGACTTGCGGGCCCTGAAAGTGCCTTATGGCGAGCGGCAATAAGGAAGGTCTTCCCATCTCCGCGGACATTGAACCTCATGCGACAGCTACCCTTTTATTTCAACTGGATCGGCGGCTGGAAGGCGGGGCTCGTGACCTTGTAAGTAAGGCTACATAGTGGTCTGATCAGAGAGCACGCGCGCGATAGAGACGATTGCGGGCGCGAGTGGTCTTGATTAGGTCACAAAGCCCATGTCCCAGCCGCCAAGCCAATTGAATCAAAGGTTAGATAGCTGGCACAAAGGATTAAACTAGTGATCCGCGGTGCCTATGGCTTTTCTTTTTTTTTTTAGTCATTCCCCGCCAATCTAATAAATAATCATAACGCCAATTCAAAAATCACCAAATAGCGGGAAACTGCGCGGTCCCAAAACGAACGCTCTTGCAAATAGCACCTTTAGATTACATTTCACTAGTTCATAGTGCAATACGGTCGGTAAAATCGTTGGTCAATCACAACGCAACCGACAAGAATAGAAAAATGCTGAACCTTCCCACAGCTGCTTGTAATAGCCTCCAAATGCGGTGACAGCAATATTTGCGTAAAAACAAATGTTGGCAATTCGCGACTTGTGCGTAAAATACCTATAAAGCGCACATCGCCATTCATCACGCGCGTAAGTTGTCGGAACGCAAAAGCACACAACATTAAGCATCGAATCTACAAACCTATTAAATATGGCTAAGGACATACCTTGCGCGATTCCAGTCGACATGCGAATGTCTTCCAATTAAACCTCGCAGAATACAAATGCTCAATGTGTATAACTTTTGTAATTTTTTGGGTTGTCCTGTATTCTGTAAATTTAAGTGACGTTCACAAATTGTTAACAACTGGAGATTGTCAACTCGCGTGAAATCGCGTGAGTTTAGCCCGAGACTAATCGAATGAGATGTAGACAGCTTCAAGGCGAATTACTGCCATTTCCAATCATGCATTGATCCTATATATTTTCATTCCAGAGACAGTATCGAAAAGGCCGTAGAATAACATTCGGTGGGACGATGCATCATGGAGTAAAATGGATTAAATCTAAAGAATGTAATGCAGAGTTAGTAGGCGCATTTTTGAATCATCTTGTTATATTATTCATTTTGAGACTGACCAAGACTGGTAAAGAACACGAAACACTTTGCACACAATGCCTAGACAAGATTGAACTTGTTTTCTTCTGTTTTCAAGTAGCAAATAATCCTAGATTAGGTAGATCACAAGTGTAAACTTTCCTAATTACATGATCAAGTTTGTTTTGACAATGTGCGCAAAGCAATTTCAGTCTCTTGACAGCAAAATAAATGACACGTGCAGATGTGATCTTGGGCAACTGTTCTACTACAAGACGACAAAAAACCGCATCTTACATTCCAAGATCTTTGTTGACGGAGCTAAATGTGATTGGTCAGCTGAACCAGTGAGGGTGATGCGAATAATATTTTGAGTGATTTCAGGATGAAAATTTGTCTCTATGGAATAGGTCCGGATAAGAATGAAAACTTTGCTTGTGACGATCTGAACATGACTTTTGTCTACATCCGAAACGGCTTCGTAGTGATGCCACAAGCAAGTCAGTGCATTCTGGTTCTAAAATTTCTGTAGTTAAAGGCAGTGTCCGGGCAAAAATTCGATTTTGAGATTTTGTGCTTACCCGGGCCTATTCGCTATGCTGAATCCGAAAATCCACATTGGAGAGCGCGAAAACGACGAAAAAGGGCTCTAATACTGGAGGGAAACCAGCAAGTGGGCGGGGTCTTCCCCACGGTGAATTCACGCTCCCAACTTCGGGGGCGATCTTTTTGATTCCGGTTTCAAGTCATTCGTTTGCACTTGATCGGTAATGATGTCAGGGCGGCTAACGGATTCGAGAAAATTGCTCTGGAGGCTGGAAGCGTAATTCACAGTGGGGAAGACCCCGCCCACTTGCTAATTTCCCTCCAGTGTTAGGGCCCTTTTTCGTCTTTTCGCCTCTCCAATGTGGATTTTCGGATTCAGCATAGCGAATAGGTCCGGGTAAGCACAAAATCTCAAGATCGAGTTTTTGCCCGGACACTGCCTTTAACGTCCCCGGTTCATCCCGAATCTTGAGTTTGGACTGGCCCGAGATTGAGGGATTGTTTGGGACGCAACCTTCAAAGCTGTCTTCCCTAAACTTGACCATCTGCCGTTCCGCTTGGTTCGTCACACCCTTCACCGGCTCTCGCTTTCTTCCGTTCCTCTCCAGGATCCCGTTTTGCGCAGCGCTCCCGCCACAATTTGTCTTGCCTCAAAGCCCCGCCTTCCAGCTGCCAATCCAGTTGAATCAACGGTCACTTCCTGATTGTCTTGCTTCAAAGGCAGTGTCTGACCAAGATTACCGTTGCCGAGTTTTTGCATTTTGCAAGCCTGTCGGACCCTGTCTAGCACCGTATGGGCCTAAAATCGCACGAACTTCCCAAAAACCTCGTTTTCTGGAGGCCCCGCGGAAGCAACCTGGACGAGTTGTACCTTCCAACTTCAGCCTCAAGCACAGTGGCAGCAAAGGTGGATGCCAATTGGAGGGACATATTCAAACGCGTAAGGCTCCGGACAGACTTTACGCGATTTGATCGTCGCGATTTAATCGCCGAGATTTCCACTCATTTTCATTTTACATTTAGAAATTCCCTGCTGGAAGATTATCACAACCGAATGCAAGTTGATGGAATGATGTTGTAACAGTTGTATCGTCGCGACTGAATCGCGACGAGACAACTGTTACAACATCATTCCATGCCGATCAACTTGCATTTCGGTTGTGATACTTTTCCAGCCCGCAATTTTTGAATGTGAAATGAAAATGAATGGAAATGTCGGCGATTGAGTCGCGACGATCAAATCGCGTGAAGTCTGTCTGGGGCCTAAGGGGGAGACCGAAGGAGTCGTCCGCGCGTACCAAGTCGCTCTCCGCATACCATTTTGAAAGGGTCAAATTGAGTGGGACTTGTTGCAATGGACTATTTAGAGGTCCCTATATTAGAAAATGTGAAAATCCGCGCGACCTCAACTTTGGTGAGGCACTGCCTTTAAGCCGCATATCTGGAGCCAGTAGTTTGCGGTGGTGGGCCTAATGGTGTCTTAAATCCTTGCTCAATTCTGTGTTTTATCATTCTTAAAACGACGCATACTTTTATGAGGGACTAGATTGTGCGTTTCTGCTTCGAGGAAATAGCGCTGAATGACTTATTGTAACGTGAGCAAATCGACATCTCCTCTGCCATGCTAGCGTTTTTTGGGGGAAATAATCATAGCTACCAAAACTATATATCGTCAGCTTCAATCGCAAGTACTAAGCCGCAAGACACTTTCTTGGAATAGTACAAAAAAAGACGCTTTCCCACTTTAGTTGTACTTTGTGTATTCCTGGGAGTGACTGGTGCTGGATGGGACTCGGCTTCCACGCGTCCGCCTTGACTGGGCGTTGCATCTCTCGCGAAATAACTCTAATCATTCTTAGAGCACGAGCTTCGGAAGGGCGGAGATTTGATCGCTAGTCAAGCCTGGCGGAAATTAGAGAGCACGCTCTCGAGAAAAATGCAAGCAGGCGAGGGCGGCCGCGGGAAGTTGAGCCCCGCCCATCACCGGTCACATCAATGATACAGAGGCTACAAAGGCACGAGAATTCGCTTGTCATAGATGCATTGAACTTCAGATCCCATGCTGTCATTTCTAGACTTCTTCGAGGCCCTGCTTTTTGATACGAAGTTTGAGAAGATAAATGTAAGATCTCAAATCCTTTTTTGAGACTTTTTTGGTGAACCAAAAACACATAATATTGATGACCACGTCAGGGGCTTGCACTGCGTGTGCGCGCTGTTGGGGAGAGGGAAGAGACCGAAGAGAAAAGCAGACAACGCCCTAGCGTGACGCAAGACCCTAGCGACGCATACTCCCCCACGCTTTTGGTCTGATTAGGTTGGGACAGATTGAACATACCAAACGAAAGTGGATGTTCTGTGAGGGGATGAGAGCCAAGATGAACGATAGCTGTGAATAATCAAACTGTCCTTTTATCCGGACATGCCGTCGAAGAGCAAAAATTAGGACCGATTGAGCTCAACTTTTTGAAGTTACTTACAAGGGAAGCGTCTTTAGTCGAAGTGGCCTTTCCACGTGACACCTATATCACTTTGTAGAGCATTGAACGGTGATTTCAAATCCGTCTTCCATATCTGCCAAGCTCGTCCGTAGGCCGAGTTATGCGCATTTCTTAACTTGAAAAACTGAATGCATAACTGGAACAAAATCGTCCAAGATGCTCAAATGATCAGATGTTCATTATCGGAGCACTTCACTTGATGAATACTTCTGTCTAATACCCTTAGGCCCCGGACAGACTTCAGGCGATTTGATCGTCGCGACTCAATCGCCGACATTTCCATTCATTTTCATTTCACATTCAAAAATTTCGGGCTGGAAAAGTATCACAACCGAAATGTAAGTTGATCGGCACGGAATGATGTTGTAACAGTTGTCTCGTCGCGATTCAGTCGCGACGATCGAATCGCGTGAAGTCTGTCCGGAGCCTTATACTCAACATTGCTTTATTTGAGAGCGGGAAATATTGTGATTACTGTTTTTACATAGTTTCTGCTTTCATTTTCTGCTCCGAAAAACATCATAACTCGGCGTCCAGGGGGCTTGGCAGATAGCGAAAACAGATTTGGAATCAGCGTTTAATGCTCTTCAAAGTGGTAGTCTCATTTGGAAAGACCACATCGACTAAAGACGCTTCCCTTGTTAGAATATCATCAATGGTCGAATAATCTTTCGAAGAAAAAGCGTACGGCTAGCACAATGTATCGTCCATGTTGGCTGCGTAAGCTCAGCGCGAGCGAATGATTTTCGATCTGCAACCCACACGTTAAGCAATCAAATGCGTTTAATAGGCCCGTTTGCGCCCACTCCGCGCAAAGAACATAAACCTTCATGCGCGACTGAACTAAACCAATTGCCGCAGCACAATTTAATGTGTTATTTCTTCAAAAATTGATGGAAATGCATCTGAAAAACCTACAGTTTGCAAAACATAATCGTGTTTTAGTGAATGGTATACCGATTAGATTCGTGAAAAGCACAATGGGAACGGGCTTGGAGAGGTTCAAAGTGCGACCTACACAAATTGGCTTCGATTTTGATGGAAGAGTAAGTATTCAGGAAATGCAGACATTCATTGAGTAATCATTAGTGCTATGTTTAGAGAATAATATTCGTACTTACATTGTCGACGGCACACACTGGCCGACATTGCGAATCTCGCGCCCCGCCACCAAAAGTTGCGAGGGCATGACTAGTATGGTTCATTTTTGAAATCATGATGACGAGTTGACTGCGGTCCTTGCGCACACAGAAGCATGAAACATCCATACAAAAAGGCATCACCTCAACGCTCAGCTCAGTCACTTCCAGTGTCTGAATAGTCATATGTAAGCAGAAAAACTGTTTGAGCAGAGATAGAAACCAAGAAGTGGGAATGCGTGCGTGTTGCGCGCGGTCGCGTCATCGTCACGATTTTTCGGATGCCCTATACAATGGCGATTTGTACATGAAGCGTTTCATCACGTTTCGGGTGCTCCGCAATAACGGCCAGATTGCTCGGTCGAGTCTCAACAATAAATTCTTTTCATTGTTTGTTGGGAAATGTTTGCTTAAGAATCTATGTGCATCTCAATTTAGCGTCTATGATACTCAATCACAGATGTTCATTCAGTTTTCCATATGGTCGGTGGGACGAGAACGGGTCACGTCTACCACTCACATGGACCATGACGGTAACCTAATTTTATACTTCTCGCATCATGACTGCCTTGTGAAAGGAAAGGGAATAATGAACTTAGTGAGAACATCGACTTGTCAAGATTGTCGAAGAAGTGATAAAGTTGCAATTTCAGGGTGAAAATAATGGAATAGTCTATCAGATTGAGGGTGGCGACCCAATAGACAACGTCAGCAATGGAACTAAAACATCAACCGATCATGGAAGTGTGGCTACACGCCAACCTTTGGGCGAAATAAGCGTAGCGGTATAGCATTGCCTCATTATAGCAAGAACGAGGTTATGCAAATCAAATGTATTCCTCTATCTCTAGGGACCGACTAAAGCTCAGGTGGTTGCTAGAACCACTACGGAATCTCAGGTTAGAGGAGGACCAGGTATAAAATGTGTATATGTGAAATCCCATGTGTGATGACATACTTTGTTCCAGGCAGTGGAGGAACGGCGGTTAAGAAAGGGAGGAGCGGATGGAATATTATGATGATGTTTGCTGGATTCTTCTGTGGCTCGTTAGTCGCACTCCTTATTTCCGGCTCTTTACTCTATTTTGGACGGAGAACTGTTTATTCGAATTGGTAAGAATTAGTACAGTTTGTTACATACCAGTTCAGATTACCCATTAATTCAACAGGCTCGGTGGCTGAAAGGCGGGGCTTCATGACCTAATCGAGGCCAGATGATGTTAAAGATAGAGACGCAGACTGAGTCGCGGGCGCGAGCGGCCTTAATTAGGATACAAAGCCCTGCTTTCCAGCCGTCAAGCCAGTTGAATTAAACGTTATAACTACCTACTAGGTTGAGACGAGTAGAAGAAAGAACACCCCAATAAGGCACCGCCTCCGCGGGCTGCTAGTCCTTTCGTCCTACTGTTGTGCATCGTGCTAGTACCAGTGGTGCGCGGAGGCGGCCCTAAATGAGATGTTCGTTCCTCCATCTGTTTGAGGCACAATTCCTGCACCAAAAAGTGGAAGAACATTATTTTAAGAAGACTTGAGCAAACTAATTATTCATACAATATGCGTTTGTTATGTATATCAAAGGTGGTAACCTATAATACACATGAAAAGTCAATTATAAAAAAGGCAATAAGTCACATTTCAAAAAATCAAAGCTGTTTATAACCATTTGTAGATGCATTCGATCACTATCAATTCTTAGTTCAACAGAGTAGGTCATAAAACCAAGACCAAAAATAGATTTAGGTTTCAGTAGACGCTTTAGCGTTTTTGGCAACCAAAAATCGAAAAATCACTTTGGCGTATTTCTTATGATATCATTGACAAAACGCTAGAGTTACTTACAAGTCTGATCAAGGTTGTCTTGAGAAAGACTGCCGGGGAGTGCTCTCAAAGGTTACTTTGAACGAAAGCGGATGGTTATTGCAGGGAGGAGGGTGGAGGACTACATGTTGCCAAATTTGGACGAGTCCCGCGCGGATTCCCTGCAGGCACGCATTTCCTCGCATGTACAGTCGGTTTCATCCCGGATTAGGCGAGACATTCTACGTGGAGCAGCGCATGCGCATCGCTGGAGGCTTCGCGAGCGCATAGCGCTGGCATTTTGCCAAGCAAAGAATAAGGAGATTCAAGAGACGCAGACATGGGTTCTCAGCAAGATATGAACTGTAGCTGCGAAACGGCGCGAGCTGTTGCGAGGCGGGCTCCCGCCAGTCCAATTTCCGCCTAAAGCGGGTCGAAACTTACTGTACAAGGGTGCGTATTTAAATGACCGCGGGGACCGCCTTTTTTCGGCGACATATAGTCCTCTACCCCAGGGAGGAAGCACTCATTATCGTTGGAGCGCGTGGGATGCATACAGTTGGCCGATGAGCGCTTGCGCGCCACGTTAGCTTTCAACCTATTTTATAAGTTGTTCTTATATAGAATGCATCAAAAAAGAAACTCCTCGAAAATCTGCTTTAAAAGGGCAGGTGGGGGATGCCGCGCGCGTTGTGCAGTCACACACGTTTTACGTGGATTGAAAGCGTTGCGACGCACGCGGCAGTGTATCTCTTTCAATGCCCTTGTCTCTATTTTTTGTAAAGCAAGTCGAAAGTAGGGACTGGCGCGGAGAATTGGGTGTATTTATGTGAAAAGTTGCGGAATTTCCTATGAATGCGCGTAGGCCACGCAGCCGCGACGACTCTTAGCCATGGCCAATTTGAAAGAATGGAAAATACCATCTGTGTCCTTGGGAGTGGCATGTGGGGTGGAGCTCGCGTCCCCGCGGCCGACTCGCTAGGGCTCTGCACCTCTTTCGCAAACGTGCTTTAATTATATTTCCATCACGAGCATGCGAAAGGCGGAGCTTCGATCGCTAATCAAGAATGGGAAAGTGATTAGAGAGCACTTTCGCTAGAGTGAGAGCAGAGCTCAGGCGAGGCCACTTAGCACGCATCACTCCCAATGATACAGGGGAGGGGAGTACTGTTAATTCCAATAAAACAGACAAGCTAATCGTAAGGAGTTCGTCGTGACGTGTTTCGTAGTCAAACAGTGTCGAATTCAATTAAGGTACCGCGCTATGTACAAGCGCTATGGCTGCGACGCATCCGGCGTTACTGGGGGAGTCACTGGTGCTGCGTTTGGTTCAACCACAGGTTCGACTCGTAAATATCTGAACCAGATATAGTACTCATGTTGACGCTATTTCAGCTGGAGGAGAATACAGTACTGTGGCTGGAGGTACAACGGCTAGTACCTTTGGTGGTACTACTGGTGGCAGTACATTTGGTGGTGGAACAACAACGTCCGGCGAAACATCTGGAATGTCGGGTGAAACCACCGGCGGCACAACCGGCACAACCGGCACAACTGGAACCACTGGCACCACTAGTGGTTTTACGAGCGGTGAGACCACGGGCGCCACAAGCGGCGTGACCGGAGACACCACTGGCACTACCGGAGCTACATCCGGCGCTGAAATGGTTGCAATGTAGATTTTAGAAGTGTTTGAGTAAAGTTTAGTTGTTTACAGTGTATTTTTCGACGGAGTATTTTTGTAATAAAGTGCGTTTTGTGAGGCTAGATTGTAAACATGACATATTTTTGCAAAAAAGCAAAAAGTTTGTTTGCTGTAATCATTTCCTTCCTTGTGAACAGATGCCGCCCATATGCATCCCATCTTATAATATGCCTAGCATTTTCTTCTTCTCTTCCTTATTTAAGGTTTTTTGCAACACTCAAGCGAACTTTTACCAACAAGCGTAAAGTAAAACTTAATATCATATTTTGAACTACCGTTAGCCACAGTAACGTTTGGGATTTCCTCGATAGGACCAATATATTCTGGTACGCTGGACCACCGTTAATAGAATGAATTCAACATCGGACATCAAATTCTGTAGAAAACAATAAGATAACCTACCACTTGATTCAACTGGCTTGACATCGGCAAAGGCGGGGCTTCGTGACCTAATTGAGGCTAGGTAATGATCAGAGAGCACTCGCGCGAGAGAGACGCAAGTGCGTCGCGGGCGCGAGCGGCCTCAATTAGATCACAAGACCCCGCCCTAATGGTGCCAAGCCAGTTGAATCAAAGGTTACATTATCCGTCATCCGTGGATGTCTGCAGCATTTTTCCCAGAGTCAAGAAAAGAGAAGAATTACAGAGATAGCCATTCCATCATTTCTGCTCCAAACTGCGTGCATAACTATAAACTGACATTTTAGATTTGCACGACATAAGCAGAGCATGGAAGCACTCTGATCGCATCAGAATGCTTCCAATGTTGCATCAGTTTTCGTATACAAATGTCCTACACATATTGGCCGTATGTATAACATACGCTACGATTTTATGGTTGAATTCAAAGAGTCGAAAAAACTAATTTGGGAAACTGTATAGGTTATTTATGAGATCGTGACGACGGATCTGACTGCGGTCTTTGCACCCACATGAGCAGAAAACACATACAAAGAGACATCACCATAACTCAGCTCAGTCACTTCCACTGTCCGAATGCTATTATATGTAGGCAGAAAAACCATTCGAGTAGAGATGAAAACCAAGAAAATAGCGGCTGCCGGGTGCGTGCGTGTCGCGCGCGGTCGCGCCATCGTCACGATTTTTGAGTGCCCTGTACAGTCGCTTCATTTCATTTGATCATGTGTGCCATTGCACACACAGTCCACTTTGGCGTCCTCATCGTGGATTTGCAATCGCAAAAACGCAAGAGACTTACCGATTCTTATCGATCACATCAATTTGAGGTGACTAGTAACTAAAAAGGAAAGAAAATGCTAAGAACACCTTGGAAACACTTACCTGGCTTGTTTCTCCCACGAATCCAGGATGGGGACGCCAAAGGTGAACTGTATGTGCAATGACACACATGATCATATGAAATGAAACGACTGTAACTTTGGTAGAAACATCCAAACGGGAGTTTTTTATAGCTAGAGAGGGTCGCGGATTGCTCGACTTCAATACTAGGATAAACACTGCACATTTAAGCACTTCTGTTATTGATTGATGCGATGAGATACAGCTCGACTGTGGCTCCGAGGGTACTCAATTAAGGGCACCGTCCACCCAAAGCGAGGTTGATGAGATTTCGGTGGCATACTAGTGTGGGCCCCCACACTAGGCAAACCCCCAGTAGTGAGGCAAAATACTCCTTCCGAAGCGAGAAATCCGCTCCGGAAGAGGCGTAACCGAAGGTGGTCACTCCGCCCACTTTGCAGGCGCACCGTTGGAGAGACTACACGCACAGCGAGTACGCTGCCTCGTCGTAGGCGACTAATCGGAATTTTTCTAGTGTTATTTCATGTACTTGTATCCTCAACCGTTCGTTTTTTATTCAGTCATGACCAAATCTACGACAAAGTTGTTTTTTTTTGATTATAGCCATCATCAGCACCCGGCATAGCTGTTTTTCTTGATATGAACACTATCTTTCGTTATAGGTGACGCTTGTGCTCAATAAAACGAGATGAACATGCGACGTGAGTTTTTTCATTGCAATGTACATCAAATTGAGAAACTATTTGTAGTCAAAATAATCGTTGACGCCGTCTACATGACTAATGGATCCAGGTTTCGCGTATTTAGCACATTCACACAGAAAGCAGTGAAAGCAATAAACTATCACGTAACTAACGATCATCGCAATAAACTATCACGCATTTCTGTGGTGCTACTTGCTTTCACTGCTTTCTGTGTGAATGTGCTAAATACGCGGAACCTGGATCAAGACTGGGGCAAACATTTCCCAATACTCCTAATCGATTGCACAATTGCCCATGACTGGTTTGCTAATGACGCCATGCGTATATCAGCGCGCCTGCAAAGTGGGCGGAGTGACCACCTCCGGTTACGTCCCTTCCGGAGCGGATTTCTCGCTTCGGAAGGAGTATTTTGCGGCGCTACTTGGGGGTTTGCCTAGTGTGGGGGCCCACACTAGTATGCCACCGAAATCTCATCAACTTCGCTTTGAGTGGACGGTGCCTTCAATATATAGGTCATCATTATAATTAAGCATGATGTGGGCTGGCACGATCCTGAGTAGTGCCAGAATTGAAAGTGCTTCAACTGCTAGAAATACAAATCAAGTTCAACTCACAGGATACGTAAGGGCTGCTAGGTAGGCTGCTGGTAGGAGCCGTAGGTGTGCACAGTGTTTGTTTATAGCAGCAGAAGTCAAAGAAAGGTGTGCAACCGATGAGGCTAAAATTCTTCCCTCTATAAACAAAGCAGCGCACGAGATGGGCTACTTTTGCGACGATTTGTTGGACCCATCAATCGATTTATTGATTTGTTTACTTACATCGAGGGTTCACCAACCATTGTAGGATCATTTCCTCATAGTCATGAAAGTCGGGCGGTAAAGTTCATTCACATTTCTCGGCGAAAAGGATCCAGTGTTTCAGCAAGGAAGAAATATCCTATCACAATTTCGTTGCAGATATGGAGAAGGGCAGTAAGCCTCAACGCGTTGTGATTAAGTAGCCCAATTCCCGGGCGGGACCGGGGACGCCATCTGGTGGTGAATAAAGCTTCGAATATCTATAGAGCTTATATAAATGGCAAAAAACGGCTCGTTGCGCAATGGTACCAGGCATTTACAGAACTTTGACATTCACGAAAAAACTGCGAGGTACCTTTTAGATGTGGTGGTATTTTGGGCAATACGCAGCTAGTAATGAATAATGGACAAGAAGATGGAGATAAAAGAGCAAAAGGGGAGAAAAACGAGCGCTTTCAACGTTGTTGAGCGTCATAGCAAGCGGGAAGAAATGAAGGACGGCTTTTGTTAGATAGACGGTTTGTGTCAGATATTATTTGTTGGAATTCAAGTCAAAGAAGTTAATTAAAAAAGGAAAACTCTCGACAATTTCTTGAAAAGAAAGAAATTACGACTTTGTTTCCTTGTCAGCCCGGCTCGCATATGTTGCAGCAGTGCCAGGGGATTTGAGAAACACTGATCCTTTGTACGTGCTTAACATATTGCGTGAGGACTACTAGACCATAGTCTATCACTCCTTTTTCTCTTCCTTGCAAACTTTAGACTTTCACAGATAGATCCGTGCTAATTTTGAATAAATTTCGAAGGCCGATCAGATCAAAATAAGTCTACTGACAAGCCGCTTGATTAATAGTTTGCTGAACCTTATCCGCTCGTTACAGTAACGATTCGTCGCAGGATTTCTAAGCGTGCATGTACCATAACCGCGTAATGCGGTTATTGCAATGATTTCATACGATACTGATTATCAACATGCCGACTCTATTCCCCTCCTTTCCTCTTTCTCCTTCCTCCGAGAATGGGCCGTGAAAGTTACTTACATGAGTTATCAAATTGTGCAAGTAACTTAGGTTCGCATAAATGAATTTAGATCTTATTGAAATTCAAGCCTTGTGAAGAAAATTTTCGGGGGCGTGGTTCGCTGCTAAAAACAACTGAGCGTAAAGAGATCCATTGAACGCAAAATTTAAAAATATTTGCATTCAATGGATATCTTCACGGCGCCGGACTCGCTGGACACGCGGAAAGCGAGCGGGGCATGAGAAATACCGCACGCACATGTCCGGACGTGCGGCCGCTCGTGCGATTAAAGGCAGCGTCCAGGCAAGATCTATCCACCCAGATTAGCGCATAGTTTGAGAGGGGCCCATGGGTATCCGATCTGCGTTGGTCCAATCCTCTGACGTGCCTTCTAAAAGGAGTTACGGGCCTGTGATACGTATCACAAGCCGCCCCTTCGTATCACAAACCACCCCTGAGGACGAGTGCTTGCGCAGGTGTGCGGCTGCATTGCAGTTGCATTGCAGTTGCACTGCATACTGCAATGCAACTACTGTATCCGTGCAGTTGTAGCTCCTCCCACTGGCATGACGATGGGGACGAGCAATTCGAAACTTGTCCGCTCCTTGAAGAGAGGGTCCCCAAGAACCGGGTTTTTCGGGAGTTTTGAACAATTTGGACTTTACAACTGTAATCGGGGCCAAGGAAAGGCCCCAGAATGGCAGAAACATGAGAGGCGAAATTTTGCCCGGACGCTGCCTTTAAGGAGAGTAATCTATCCGGACCGACGCCAGGAAACCAAAAGTCCCGGAGCGAATGCGAGGAGAGGGAGAGTTGTGCGCTCGAACTGCGAGAGGTTCCTATTTTATACCAAGTATTTTCTATCTCCTTTGTATCGCTGTTCTTTTTTAGACTCTTTTCCTCATGTTTGAATGCCTATAAATGGTGTTATATTGCGCGATTTCACCAACAGTTTTTGTTGTTGTGTAGTGCATGTACAAGTACATGCGAGTAGCTCATTTTCAGAACAGCACGCTTACTAGGCTTGGATGCTCAGAAGCCTGGTATTCTGGTACTGGGATGCTCCATCATTTCAGAGGTTAGTTTTAGTGTTTTCCCACATAACAGAACCCAAAAAGTTTGCTCAGAAGGGTTATTTGGAGAACTAGTTACAATATCATAACGACTTAAAGCGCCACTAATATTGGTGGTTAAACGAACCAAAATCAAGTTGCTAAAAGTTGTTCTTCTTGCAAAAAGCTTACGAATTATTAT